GCAATGGGACTGGATCCCACAAAACCACAGCCTGAGGAAAAGCCCCACAAACCCAGATCCTGAGGAAAATCCCTGCAATGGGACTGGATCCCACAGAACCAAACCCTGAGGAAAATCCCTGCCAAAGGGATGGATCCCACAAAACCAAACCCTGAGGAAAATCCCTGCCGAAGGGCTGGATCCCACAAAACCAGAGCCTGGGGAAAATCCTGGCAAAAGGGTCAGATCCTGAGGGAAATCCCCACAAAACCAGATCCTGAGGAAAATCCTGGCCAAAAGGGCTGGATCCCACAGAACCAGAGCCTCAGGAAAATCCCTGTCACAGGGCGGGATCCCACAAAACCACAGCCTGAGGAAAATCCCAGCCACAGGGCCAGAGCCTGAGGAAAATTCTTGCCAAAAGGGCTGGATCCCACAAAACCAGATAGTGAGGAAAATCCCCACAAACCCCAAACCTGAGGAAAATCTCCACAAACCCAGATCCTGAGGAAAATCCCTATCATGGGACTGGATCCCACAAAACCAGAGACTGGGGAGAATCCCTGCCAAAAGGGTTGGATCCCACAGAACCAGAGCCTGAGGAAAATCCCTGCCAAAGGGCTGGATCCCACAAAACCGGAGCTTCAGGGAAATCCCTGCCACAGGGCCAGAGCCTGAGGAAAATTCCAGCCACGGGACTGGATCCCACAAAACCAGAGCCTGAGAAAACCCCTGTCACAGGGCTGAATCCGACAAAACCAGATAGCAAGGAATGTCCCCACAAACCCAAAACCTGAGGAAAATCCCCACAAACCCAGAGCCTGAGGAAAATCCCTGTCATGGGACTGGATCCCACAAAACCAGAGCCTGAGGAAAAGCCCCACAAACCCAAACCCTGAGGAAAATCCCTGTCACGGGGCTGGATCCCACAGAACCAGAGCCTGGGGAAAATTTCTGCCATGGGACTGGATCCCACAGAACCACAGCCTCAGGGAAATCCCTGCCAAAGGGCCAGATCCTGAGGAAAATCCCTGCCAAAAGGGCTGGATCCCACAAAACCAGATAGTGAGGAATGTCCCCACAAACCCAAAAGCTGAGGAAAATCCCCACAAACCCAGAGCCTGAGGAAAATCCCCACAAACCCAGAGCCTGAGGAAAATCCCTGTCATGGGGCTGGATCCCACAAAACCAGAGCCTGAGGAAAATCCCTGCAATGGGACTGGATCCCACAGAACCACAGCCTGAGGAAAAGCCCCACAAACCCAAACCCTGAGGAAAATTCCTGTCACGGGGCTGGATCCCACAAAAGCAGAGCCTCAGGGAAATCCCTGCCAAAAGGGCTGGATCCCATAAAACCAGAGCTTCAGGAAAATCCCCACAAACCCAAAACCCCCCCAAAACCAGATCCTGAGGAAAATCCCTGTCACAGGGCTGGATCCCACAAAACCAGATAGTGAGGAAAATCCCCACAAAACCAAATCCTGAGGAAAATCCCTGTCATGGGACTGGATCCCATAAAACCAGATCCTGAGAAAAATCCCTGTCAAAGGGCTGGATCCCACAAAACCAGAGTCTGAGGAAAATCCCTGTTACAGGACTGGATCCCAGAAAACCAGATCCTGAGGAAAATCCCTGCCAGTCAGGTTGTGGAAGAGCATGGAGAGCCCCTCTTCCAGAACTTGGAATTATGGAGACAACAAGGAAAAGGATTCCTGAGGATATAATTCCTCGGCCAACAGACAGGGATTGGGCTCTTCCCGCTCTGCAGGAGGCGGTAGGAAGTGTCTGCAGGGAATTCTGGGAAGAGAAGCTCCCTGTGTTTGGTGGCTGTGGGATTTGGGGGGTTCCCTGCCCCGGGATTGGGGGGCAGGGAACAGAGGGACAACGTCGCTG